TGAACACGTACACGCATAAAATGTCAACGCAGCAAGATAGCCAGACACACGAAAATAGTACCAGAGGAAATACCAGTGCCAGCAGAACGATTTCGATCGACAGATTTAGCCGTTGGCAAGAGGCAGCTCCACTGAAAGACATCGAAGCAGAGACAATAGCTGGGTAGCAAGATTCAGGGCACCATTGACCATTAACGACAGACAGAGGACTTCAATTTGAAGCAGCTTTATTTAGTAGACCACTAAATATTTTAGGCTGCGACAGAATTAGGACCACGGCGTACCATCTAGCGTCGAATGGGATAATAGAAAGATGGCGCCGACCGCTGAAGGCGGCGATAATGTGCCACGAGAACAGTAACTGGGCAGAATGTACTCCCTACAGTCCTGTTGGGATTGAGGACGAGCTATAAAGAAGACCTCGATGCCACGGCAGCTGAGATGTTGCGTGGCACCACAACCAGACTGCCAGGAGAAATGCTGGAAGAAGAAATTCAGACAGTATATGAAGAACGTAAAACCAAGGCCTACTCTCTACACAATAAAAAAGCAACACTTCATATGTACAAATTTAATATCTGCTTCCTACGTTTTTATACGAGTAGATCGAGGAAGGAAACCACTTGAGCAACCGTATGAAGGACCGTACAAGGTAATCAACAGAACAGAAGAATAGTTCACCATCGCTACCTAAAAGGACACCAGCAGAACATCTCAATTGGTAGACTGAAACCAGCATTACATCGAAAGGACAGAGGAAGCACCAGTAACAAGAACGTATCAAAGGGTATCGTCATCGAAAGGACAGAGGACCGAATGACTTGGAGGGGGCCGATGTGGCAGAAGCAGCATCCGGCAGAAAGTTGGAAAAAGGTGTTCGCTTCCACTGAAGAACATCCGGCGGAAAACGTAGGAGTGCGCGAGGGAGAAATCCTGCGCGCCACCTTTTTTATGTTACAGGTTGCAGTGACCACCATCGGCAGTCAAGCGGAAACCTCTACGGTGTCGAGACAAAAAGTGTTAAACAAGAGTCGAGAAGAATAGTGTGGTATCTTTGCAGGTGTTTTTTTTGTTAGTAATGGTTGAATATATTTGCATGAGTGATAACGATTACAATAAATGACGACTATAGCTTTCGCACCGACAACTGACAACCTTTTTGCCTTTGCTACTTTCCCTGCTTATCCTAAATCCATTCCTTCCATACCCTCGTTGGCTTCCCACTACACACATCCCAATCATTCGTACATCACCTCCAGTGCACACCCCCCACTTAGGGGTTTTCCCGCGGCTCGGCTCTGCGGTTTATTGCTCCTCACTATACTTACAATAGTATTTTGTATTTGTATATTTTGTTAAATAATAGTTAAGAAGTTGTTATAAAATATATTTAGTTTTCTGTGAAATTACTCGTGCGGTAAATAACTTTGTACCAAGGCAAATCTCTATCTTCCTGTTTCCCGTTTGAGTTGATAAGGTAGATAACGTCACGTAGCAATCCGCTATATCGTAAGTGACAGTAACGCCATATCGTGTTTGGTTGTGCGAACTAACGGCTAGTTACCAGGAACATATAATGTGAACAGAGGTATTAGACAAGGAATGCACTCTCGTGCGAGAAGAATGAAGAGAAAACGTTTCCTATTTCCTAGAAGTTAAATCGGACGGTGAAAAATATTAATAACTCATTATTTACGATAAATTTCTGAACTTTTAGTATTGAAGAATGAAGTGTGGAACTTCAGAGACTTTCACATATAGATTTCAATGCACTAAACCCTTACAATAATTAGCATATCTTAACGATTTTTCAATAATTTCACAGCTTTTTGCCAACTTTTTATACAATTAATTTACGTGTCTGAAAGGTAACTCCTTGAGCTATGAAATGTTTTCTCTCTATTCTCCTCACACAGTAGTATTTTCTTTGTCTAATACCTCTGTTCTCATTCTGTGTTCCTAGTAACGAGTCGTTAGTTGGCGCAGCCAAACACAAGATGGCATTAGTTTAGTGTTGAAAAATTCTCTATCCTTATCTAACCCTAACCTTTTCCTTATCCATAAACGTTTCTCTAGTGCTATCCTTTCCTTGTCTCATTTCTGTATTGTTAAATATCTCGACGAGTTACCCTTCGTAGTAAGCACGACTAAACATGTAGCATTGCTTGAGTAAAACTGTTCACGATCTTTTGACAGCAGTAGACCACGGACATGTGATGAATCATCTACTAATAAAAAATTACGTTACTTTCTTATTTGTAATTTCATAGTTATTTATTAATTCTAATTCCAATCACTGCTAATGTTGTAATCCTATTTATGCACACTTATGCAATTTATGAGTCAATTTGATCCAATACACATATGTATGTAGCAAGTGGCTCTGGTGACTTTGATGTTCTTTTGTTACACTTCTGTTGCGTATTCTTTTGCCACAAACGCTGTACGCTCTTTTATTTTCCGTAATATAACCATCAGAAGTGCAGTTCGAGTCTTCTAAAGGCTGGTGTAATACGTTATTCTTTATATTCGAAACAACTTGAAAATATAATTTGATTTTCTACGATGTCGTGCCAACAAACAGTATGTAAGTACTTGCAACACCTATTTTTATTTCTAGTAATACTTGTAACTCGATAAGTTACAAAATTTATAGTACGATCAAAATATTTTTGACGATGTGATTGATGTAGAAGATTATGTAACAGAAACAAGAATAGGTAAAGGAAGCTCAGATTCCGGTGAAAGTTTAGACAGCCTTCCTTTCAGGGCCGCATTTATACTTTCCGAGGCCCTAGGCGCAACATCATTACGAGGCCTCAAAAGAACAAATCTATTTCAGTTAATCAAATTGATACACATTTTCTTTTTTTAGTTTATTGAAAATAAAAGTCGACATTTCCATAATAACTCGTTTTAATAAATTATTGGTCAAATTTGGCGTTACCGTTTTCAGCGGCTTCTTGTTTTTATATTATGAATTTAATATTTAAGAATAAGTATTTTATTTTGCGACTATAACTAGACTGTTTTTTATATTGTTCGTGAGGAGTAAGGTTTTAAAGTGTAGCACCATAGAGAATGAGGCTCCAGCTTGCACCTAATGCGCCTTATGGTAAATGCGGCCCTGCTTCCTTTAGATGAACGCATACATTGTATATGTATACGTAGATGCAATATCGAAGTGGTGAACGCGAAAAGAAGGCATTTGATCGTCTCGCCCAGGATCGAAAGGCGAGCGACAATAACTCATATAATATTAAAATTATATTGTACAAGTTTAATAAATCATTGCAATATTAAGTCGTAATAATTAAATGAACTGAGATTAATTTTTTTATACTCACTTTTTGTATATATACGGTACTGGATCAATTTGACCCAAATTTACTTATTCGTGTAATTTCACAAACTCTGTACATGGGTTAATATTACATAATATGAATATTGATATATTGCTTTATTATGATTTGTTAAAAAACGCAAGGTCTTTCCGTGGAAACTGATACAGTGACGCTTGAAAAACAGTTTATCAAAGATCTTAAATGAAGTACTTATCGAATTAATTTATAAGCAATATTAGGTTATCCCATATGTTCTTGCCGAAAGCGAAAAATCTTTTAATGAAGATCCAAGGAAATACTATAGCGACGACCTAATGATCTCAACAAAAATAAAAAAAATATAGAAGAAAGTTGTGAAATGAGAAGGTTTTTACCTTTCTTTTTATCAAATTTAAAGGTTCGTTGGAAATATTGATCTAAATTATAAAATTCGACACGAACTTATGAAACGACTTGATATTTCTACACAAGTCCTCTCTCCGTGAAACAGTTCTTCATAACTAACTACTAAGAAGGAAAATAAGAGGTCAAATATCTTTTAAAGATTAGTAACTCTATGCTATTTGTAAATATTTTAAATATTTGTACATTTTAATCTAAACGTACAGTACTGCACTTTTGCATAATAAGATGACAAGGACACAACATAATCTCAACAAAAGCACACGTTATAATTGTGAATAAGTAAACAAATTGTGGCATGAAATAGAACCGACCGAACTAAATAACACTGTTTCTTCCTGTCGATGTTCAAATAAGTAAGTTTTTCGTCTTTTTTCCATCCATTCGTTTCGATTATTCATATGGAAAGTTTTTGCTGGCTTTTCTTTTCTTCGCATACTTAGTTAATCATATATTTACTTTTTTTAATAGTTTCAATAATACTTTTAATCACTACAATATACAAAATATTTAACTGAAAAGATACTATCTAATTATCTTTTAATCCGTTTTAGACAAAATTATATAAAATATAATGTACAACCATTTAAACATTACCGAATAGTAATCATTTTATATCTCATATACA